GTGACATACCGTCTGGGACCCCACCTTGCAGACCGCAGAGCTGCCTGCACGCGGTGACTGCAAGTACGGACTGTCCCTGACCGGGGCTCTCTGCGGGCGGACAGCCGGCCATGCGGGAGGGCTGGGAGGCCGGGAGGCGGAGTGCGGGGGCCGGCGCCCCCAACTCTGCGGGCTCAGGGTCCTCGCTTCCGGGAGGGGGGCGGAATGGGACCCTATCGGCCGAGCTGCCAGGCATGCGTGGAGAGACCAGCCCGCGCTGGCAGCTGTGCACGCTTTGGCTGCCGCCGTCAGCTGAGTGCGCCACGGGGAAGGGGGGCCGCGGTCCCTGAGTGAGGGTCCCACAAGAAACGTCAGGGACCTGCCGCCCCTCGACTCCCAGGGGCGGGCCCTGCTGCTTTCTGGGGGCGCCGCTGCAGGCCGAGTTCAGGAGGTGAACTTTCGAGGGGCACACTGGCACTTTCCTGGAGGTATCATCATACTTCCGTTTTTAGAAAGTGCACGAGAAGAACGACCTACACCCGCCAACTTTGAGGTTACCGCTTTGCAGGGGAAAGCGCGCTCCGCAAGCGTCCCTTTAAGGCGTTGGGCTTGCCCCAGGCATTCTGCCCCTCGCCGCTCCCCGTAGTGCCCCTCCGAGAGGCCGGCTTTGTGCGCTCGCCCCGCCCCGCCGCCGCCGCCGGCCCCAGCCGACCCCAGCCAAGATGCCCGGGTCGCTCTCTGCCGTGGGGAGTAGTGAGCTGGCAGCTGCCTGACACACGGCTCTCATAGGTGCAGCTGAAGGTGGAGATTTCAAGACATGAGGAGATGCCATGGGCTGATGGCGCCTGCAGGGTGAGGGCCTGTCTGCTCACTCTGGCAGGGCAGCCTGACCAGGCCCACAGGAGGCTGCCCACTCCTCCCAGCCTGGCCATGCTGGTCTGGCCTGGACTCTCAGCACCTGTCACCGGGGCTTTGTTTTTGTTTTTAAGGGACAAAATAATGAAAAACTCTTTTGATGGTCTTAGCCAATACACACTCTTTATAATTCCCGAAATAGCCCAGATATGAGGGGCCTTATCCCCTCCAGGCGTTCAGGGCCAACTCCTACCTTCTCGGAGGAACGCAGAGAAAGGGTGAGTCCTTGAGGCGCATGGATCTCTTTGCTCCCAGCCGGGCGTCTGCTCATTCTGTGGAGCTTCAGGTTCCCTTGTGGGGACCACATGAGCATCACTCCTCTCTGCTGAGCAGCAAGACAACGGGGAAGACATGCATAGCTAAGTATGGGCTTTGGGGTTTTGTGCCAGCTTCACGTCATTTCTTCTGTTGTGCATTCGGTCATCTAACAGACATGGATGGAAAGCCAGGGGCTGAGGGAACAGAAGTGAACACCCACCGGTCCTGGCTCTGAGGGCCACTCCCCTGGGCTGCTAGAAAGGTTCCCCTCCTGTGTATCCCCATGTTGTTCCCTCCAGGAGGTGAAGGGCCCTCACTCTGAAAAGTGCCTACCGAGCAGTTTCGTCTCTCCGTGAATGAGCTTTGGCAAGCACATGGCTGAGTCACAGTCTTGGTGACACAGAGCGTGTGGCTTTAAATTGCCCAGAAGTATGACTGGCACTCCAGCCTGTGCCTCCCCCCTCCCGCGCCCCCCCAGGGGTTCTGGATGAGCCAGTGGCAGCTCAGAGCAAGCGATCCAAAGATAATCCTTCTTGTTTTCTAAAAGCCAGCTGTTGAGTTCAAAGCCTGTCCGAACATGGTGAATTCCTTGAAGGCAGTTGAAGTAACCGCTGATTTTTTTTTTTTTTCTTTTTTTAATTACCTAAGCTAAGCGCCTTTTTCTGAGAAGAGCAGGTTCCCCTGTGGATCTCCTGAGCTTGAGGGGAAGGTGGAGAATGTTCTTACTTGGGAGTTGAGTGGTGTGATCAGGCCCAGCTTGAAACAGCTTGCTGGTGCAGGCACCTCGGTTCCTGACCCCGGAAGCGCAGGGACCCACCCCTATCTGCCTGACCCTCCCTGGAGCAACCCCACCTCTCCTCCGCAGGACAGAGCCGAGATGGGAGGAGGCAAGGGGCAGCCATCCCGGTGTCCACCATGCAGGGTGGAAGCTAGGCAGTGATGGTTTATCAGTGACAGGCTGAGGCCTGACTCATGGCCCCGTCACAGCCTTTGGTGGAGGACTGACCCACAGAGGAAATTACACAGCACTCTGTGGCCCATGGTAGAGGCAGGGGCTTTTCCAAGTGCATCAACTGGGAAGCAGCCTTCACCCACGCTGGAACCTGAGACCTGGGGACCCCCGCTAACTTCAGGTTCGTCCTGGTCACTGCAGGAATAGGGTGGCCTGTGCAAACCCCTTGCACTGTTCCCCGTTGGCTGGCAGGGTGCCCCACATCCCTGGCCCATCTGTGACTGAGCTGTGATGCTCATGGAGCGAGCCTTCCACACGCTGTTCCTCGGGTGCAGCATCTACTTGAGCCTCAGCCATTCACCCAGAATCTACCTGGGCCCCGGAAGCTTGCCGAAGGGCTGTCAGTCAGAAAAGACCGTGCTCCCAGTCAAACCAGATGCCGATCCCCTCAGACAGCTGTGTGACTCTGGGCAACTACATTAAACTTGCTCTGTCTCCGTTTCCTCATCTATAACATGTGTCTGGAACACCTACCTCACAAAGTTGTGGTGAGACTGACATGAAAATACATGCAAAGGGCCTGACCCTTGGTAGGTGCTCTATACACGTTCCTTTTCTAAACTTGCTCCGAGGCCCAACTCAAACTGGCTCCAACCCCCAGGGCTCAACTCTCAGAGTTATCCCTCTCCAACCTCCATACCCAGTCCCCAACGTTCATGCAAATGTGCGGCTGGAGGAGGCAAGCTCCATCATCGTAATTGAGGAGTGGGTTTCTCTGAGCCATGTGAAAGGTTGGCCTAGCTTGAGACACCACCCCCAAGGGGCAGACCATTGAAGAGGACTGTTCTCCACCCTCCCCTTCCCTACTCCAGATCTGACAACCCAGGACCACCCTACAGGAAGCCTGATGTGGAGGGGACTGCTCCTGAAGTTGGGGGTGGGCGGGAGGGAAGAAGGGCTGGATGGCACCCAGGCCTTGCACCTGGAGTCAGTCCTAGGAGCTCCCTCTGAGAACACCTTCGGCCCCATGAGGACTGTGACTGGTTGGGCTTCTCCTGGAACCCAGAGGATAGGACTCCGTTGTCAATTCTTCCAGTTCCCCTGTGCCATCGCTGGGGCGAGGGCTACACTGCCACCCCCTTCCATGACGGGTCCCATGCTGGGCTTCCTGTGTACTGGTCGTGCAGAGGCCTGCACGGTGGGCAGCCAAGGTCCTGCCTCTCCAGGAAGCACCAAAGAATAAATCAAGTCGGTATGTACCCAAATCCCAGAGGCTTCCCTCTGCCTAACCCATGCTCCACAGTCACCCCAAAGCTCCTGCCCCGTCCTGCTGGGCCTGCTGTCTCCTCAGCCTGGAGGTCCGTCTACTGGAGCACCACCCTCGGGACTCCTATTCGGGCCCCAGTTCTCTCCGGGGCTCAAGTCTGTCTCAACCACCAAACTGGCAGCTCCCAGAGGTCAAGGCCAGCACTTGAGCCCGGTCCCCTGAACTGGCACATAGTAGGTACTTTGTACGTAGTGCGCATGTGTACATAGTGGCATAGTAGGTACTTTGCATTTGCAGAAAGTCTGGTGGGGAGGCCAAATGGGGCGGTGCACACACACGCACGCGCACAAGGGGAACACAGCCAAAATGCACTACAAAGTGCCAGGCCGGAGCTCGGCCCCGCACTTGTGCTGTCTCCTTCCGTCACTGTAATTTGCGTGGTTGCTCCGTTTAAGTTCAGGGTGGCTTTTGATGCAGACGTTCCTCAGCTGGGGTGGCGATGGGGAGAGCCCTAACTCCCACTTTATTTCCCCCACCGGAGGATGCTCTGCCCACAGGGCCCCTTACCTTCCCAGGCACTTTGCCTTACCCTCAGCTGCAGTTGAGAGCTTTAGGTTTGCAAGGGGTTTGCTTAGGTTTGCTTCACACCCAGTCACCTCCCCTCCCCACCGCCCTCCCTCTGAGCCCTGCTGGCCCCGAGGCCTGGGCCACCTTTTCCAGAAGACCGTCCAGCATCCCCCAGACTCCAGCCTGGGCTGGTCAGGGACAAGATCCCTACTTCCTCCTGGCTCGTGGGAACCCCCTGGGCTGGAACGACTGCCCCCAGCATTTCAAGGGCTCAGTGGGCTAATGGCCTCCTCTCGGTAGCAGCCTGGTGTGTGGGTAGACCGAGACTGTCTGTGGCTAAGGAACTCCCCTGAGGCCTCTGTATACCTATTGAGGTTGGTTTATTTTAATCCCCCCCCACCCCCGGCTGAGCTTTAGGGAGTGCAGTTTGGGATTGGAGGCGCAGTGGAGACTCAAGATGTTACATTTAGGAAGAATTTATAGTTATTCTGCATTTGGTCTTTATTTTTTATTTTTATTTTTTTAATTTTTATTTATTTTTTATTTTTTTTAAAGATTTTATTTATTTATTTATTTGATGGAGAGAGAGACAGCGAGAGAGGGAACACA